ATTTTTCTATAACTCCGGCTATAAGATTTGTCAGGGACTGCAAGAAAATATTTGCATGATACAATAGGCTTCGTAATTAGGAATTCTGCTGCGCTTCCTTTCATCTGATTACCTAAATATAAGCCATGGCCCAAGTTTTTTTTCTTTTCTTATTAAACACTATTCTAGGTGTCTCCTCTTCCAAGTGTTTATTCTTGGCTCTAAGATACTTTTAGCCACTTAGGCTGAAGTTTGCAGAAACACAGATTGGGCAGGCAGCTCCCGTATTGGCAATGCTGAGCAGAGATGCTTGCACAACACCTTCCTTCTGATAACAGGCAGTCCACGCTGTCTTGTTGCAACAAATCCACACGTGTCAACTGTCCACTCTAAAATAGTTTTAATTCTTCAAGAAAGGCCTAAAGCCCCAGCAACCTGCCTTAGACACTTTCTCAACGTTACTTAATCCCTACACCTTATCTATGAAATGGTTTTAAACATTAACCTGTCTTTCCCCTTTCACGTTTCCCAGGACTCTGATGGGATAACGCACGCTCGACGGATCCTGTCATGTAGCGCATGAAATGAGCCAAGGTGGTTTTCCATAGACATCCCTGCCCCTCTGGGATGGCACGGCAGCCCTGGCTCGGGAGCGGAGGGCTCCCCGTGGGCAGTGGCACCCAATCTGGGGCGGGCAGCAGTGGGCTGACTCGAGGAGGCAGATGCATGGAGAGAGCTCTGCACTCTCACGCCTCGCAGACATCTTTGCTCTGATCTAGGACAAATCCCTCAAAACACACCTGGCAGTGTGAGTTTGGAAACTGGGACCTGTGCTACCTCTTCACCGTGCTTCCCAGTCTGCGTCCTGTGGTGCTTATCAGAGAGCCCAGCTGGTAAAAGCCCTTCAGATCCAGCAGACTGTCCTGGATCCCTGTCAAAGGGCTGCTTTCACACTAGAAATGACAGGTAATGATTTTTAAAAATGCCCCTGGATAGCCCCCATGACAGCCCTCATCTGCTCTGAGCATTGAATTAAGTTCTGCATTCAGTAGCTAAATTTTCTAATGCGTTGTGAAATCTCATCTTTTACTGGCAACACAGAAACACACAAAGCAGGAAAATTCAGCAAAAAATGCTTTTATTACTTCAACTTTTAAAATGTTCCTAAGAAGCTGACAGAGAAGGATACTGCATAAACAAAATTATTTAATTGCACTACATGAAAGAGAAGGCAGGTCTTACTGAAGCAGAGCAGCAGATAGCAGGAACAAAATTCCTCAAAGCAATAACATATAAATATTGAATAAAATGCAAAAGTCAGCTCTGCAGATGGCTCTGGAAAAAAGCAGTCGCTCTGGCTGCAAATACGCTTCAGAGAATATGCCGCAAAAACTGGAAATCCACAAAGCCAAGGGGCAAATCAGTGAATAATCCGCTAGAAGGAAATCCCCAGCTTCCACGATTGAGTATGGGGATTAGAAAGACATTTCTAAATCAACGAGGTGCAAGCTGGGACAGAGAGTGAGTTTTAGGATTTTTTTTCTCCCCTCAGCATCACATACTGCCAAGCCAGGGAGATACTGACTGCCTGTCTTTGCACGCCAGTTTAGATGTTTAATTTGGGATGTTAATCTCTCTGCAAAATGATTTAATATCATCCTTGTAACCATTACTTACTTCCAGAGGCCTTGGCAAATGGCATTTCTAACAGATTTAAAGATATGTTTGCCTATCAATCAAACAAGCTGCATCAACTCAATTCGCTTCTCACCTTTTGCTCGGTGAATCAGCTGCACAATTCAGTGACAAAATCTTCTGGAGCAAAACTAGAGAGGATTTTATTAATCTGGATTTCTGAGCCCCAAGCTACTGGCTTAAAAATCCATGATGAATCTGTGTCATCATGTATTTCCTTCTCCCTTAGGAAGACAAATGCTGTATGTGGGCAGAAAATCAGCATTATTCCCCTTACCTGTAAGAAGCTACCAAGAGCAAATAGAGGAGAGGAACTTACCACCACCTTACCCAGATAACCAAACTATTCCGTAGTGGCAGCTGTCTGCGATTTGCAGAGTGTGAAAAGGTAATATATAAATAAAAATATTGTAACCGACCCCCCTGAACCACACTCACAGATGCAATGTTTCCACAGGTTGCTGAGGCACGAGATGTGAGAAAGGCAATGGCAGCAAGATGCAATGAAAGGAACCACCATGTCCTTTGCAGGACGGCACTCCCAGAAATAGGCTGGTTTTCATCCGACAGGCTGAGCACTCACAACCTCTCTTCATCCAGGACACGCAGTGCTGTCATTTTCTGCGGGCTGAGACAGAGGATACCTGTGTGAGCCTGGCGATAGGCACCTCCAAAGGGGTGATCTTCAAAACAAAGAATTGGGAGATCTTCATGCAGGCAGCACTTTTCATACACAGAACTGGAAGTGCTTGAACATGTACAACCAACACTAAGCAGATCTTTCATACAGTGTCATGGTTTAGCCCAGACAGCAAATAAAGGCCATGCAGCTGCTCGCTCACCCTCCCCTACCCTCGGGGAATGGGGAAGAGAATTAAAGGAGAAAAGGGAAGAGGATCCATAGATTGATATAAGAATAATATTATTATAATAATAGTAGTACAAAATTAAAAATAATACTGTGATAATAAGTGTGTGTATATATATATGTGTATAATGATAAATACAAACAAGTGATGCACAGTGTCATTGCTCACCACGCAGTGACCAAGACCTGTCCTGTCCCAGCAAACAATTCTCAAAGAGATAAGTTCCAACACTGCAATCCCAGATGAGCGAGAGGCCCAAAAAGTGAGAGAGAGATAGCACTCCAAGAGTCCAAGAGAGTCCTTGAAAGAGAAGTCCTAGAAGATCAAAAGCTCTTCTTCCAAGTCAACCCTCATCTTTATACTGGGCATGATGCTGCATGATATGGAGTACTCCATTGGTCAATTTGGCCCTCAATCTTAAGTCCAAGTTCAAATCACAAGGGGAGTTGTGGACCCTTTGTCCCAGCCATGCTCCCCCCCAGCCTGTTGTGCTCCTCACACTGGCAAGAACACGGCAAGATGAAAAGTCCTTGATGTCTCAGTGCCAACTAGAAACATCAGTGTGCTTCTCATAACGAACCCCAGACTAAATCCAAAACACAGAGCTCTTCTGGCTGCTAAAAAGAAAAACTAACTCTGTCCCAGTCAAAACCAGGACACAGAGTAACTAGACAAGAAGCATCACGTTCCCATCTCCACAAGCAGATTTCCTTAACTTTCTTCAAAGGAACAGCTATCCTGTAGTGCACCGGGACCAGAGAACTCGCCAAAAGTTACATGGCAAGTAAACAGGGGAGTAGGGAATGACCTCCAGCCACCCTGCTGCCCTCAGCACTGGACACCACAACACCCACCAGATGTATATGTTTACAAAATAAGAAGTCGTACAAAAACCAATTCTTAAATGCACAATATGATTAATCCGAGATGGAGACTGGACAATACAAGCAGGTTTGTCACTGCACTTTGTGCCAACAAAGCTTTCAGGCTTTCAAATCTAGCACTATACTCATCCTCGGGAAATACCTCTCCTACGTGTTAAAAGCACAATGAAACACAAGGTATTTAAACATAATACTAAGAACATCAGAGGTTAGTACAATGAACAGTATGGTTAGAAGCACAGAATTGTTAATGTAGATTAAAATGCTTTGCCAGTAATCATGTGCTGAGAGACTCACTTTCCTGGCTGAGCCACGCGGCTTTTCTTCTCCACTGTGGGCCAGCCCTGCAAAGCCACACAGCTCTGGTGGTCCCAGGAGTGCACAGCCCTGTGGGAGCAAGGACGGGTGCCATGAAGCTACTCTGGCCTCAGAGGTGCCCAGGGAAGCTGCCAGACATACAGAAATCTCTGCACCGAGCAAGTGGACAAGGGCCAGTTCTCCTGTCGTACACAACAATTTGTAGGGACAAGCAGAGAGAGGTGACCCAGCAAGGTGCTGTGCCCAGCCTGCCCTGCGTTTTCTGGAGCATCCTCTTGGAGGGAGCCTGCACAGGGCCGGTGTGAATGGGATGGGCAGTTCAGCAGCAAACACCCACAGCCTTACAAAGAGTTGATGTCCTTCTCCGGCCATCCCTGGAGTCCAGGGACATGCGTGACACCACAGCTTACCGACTCTCCGCCGCAAGCGCTCAGGCACTCCACTGTTGGGGGAAATCGCTGGGAAAATCTATTCATATAACGCCACTCCAAATCCCTGCTCCTCACAGTCTGGAAGCATTTTGGTGAAGAGGGTAACTGAAAGGGGACAAGAATAACTGCAGGTACTGAATACCACCGAGGCCGTAAAATTAGATCCAATATTTAATCACCTTTTCCAATAATTGTTTCATTTTTCGGAGCAGTATTTCTGAGAGATTTCTACATTTCTTCACAATGAGCAGGTAATGATGAAAGATTTCGTCTAGACAGAAGCTGAAGTTTGAATTTTATAATGAAGTTCTACACAGTGAAAAAAACAAAATCAGTACAGTGTTATTTTTGTCTTAAAGTTTCTTTAAAAAAAAAACACAACAAAACAAAGCACAAGTTAAAAAACACCCAAAGCAACCAAACTTTATTATTTTGGAAATACAGTCTATCATAAAGTAAATATTTTAAATATTTAATATTAAACAATAGTAAAGATCACTTTGTTGAGATGAAACGAGCAACATCAGGGGTTTTTATAAACTGTCTCTCAATACTGTTAGGACCTGGGTAGCTGCTGTTTGGGACTAACAGCGCACTGCATATTTGGTGCATTTTTGGTAGAATACGCTTATTTACTCTCGTAGCAGAGGAAGCAATGAGCTGACATTTCATGGGGCAGTAATCCTGAGGCCATAGCAACTCTGCCGTTGGTGGAGACACTGGAAGGAGGCGCAGCTGGGCACCCTGCAGACTTGCAGGTATGTCAGATTGCCCCCCTTGAGACCTTCCTGCAGCTTTTTCTTTTCTATCAGCAGCCTTGCCGTTTACAAATGCTTCTTCTTTTTTATTGCCTCTGCCCTGACAGCCAAGCTCTTGGCACAGATGGTCAGGATCACGATGAGGACTCCAGCCAGGAACGTAACCAGAGGCCAGAGGAAGCAATGCAAGAGGACAGTCTCATCATGGGTGCGCTTCAGCATCACATCATCTGGCCTGCGAAGAGGAGGAACAGAAGAGGGAGAAAATATAAATCAATTTGACATCATCAGTTCATCATAAGTGGAAAGCATCTGCCACGGAAACAATAAAGGTGTTTTATTTGCAACAGTGTTAGAAAATGATTAAAGTGGACCATTTCATTCACTGCTTTCATTTGCTCGTCTATCACCAACACTCATGACAGGCCATGAGAGCTTTCCACTTGCAGTGCTTATAGGCTAACAAGTTCATCCAGGTAAAAAGAAAATTAAAAAAACATTGGTACTTTAGGTCTTCCAGAGGTCGTGGTCATCACAAAGAGCTTTGAGAGATATAATATCACACTGCAGATTGAAAAACCACTCCAGCAAAAACGTAATACCAGGTAGCAGTTATACATGTCTACCTCAAACGGCATCAGACGCTGTGCAATGAGTTTAAAGTGCAAATATATCTTCCATTTGATCCCTGATGTGTCCATGGGGCTACATGGAGGCTCCTGACGAAGCCCTGTCTGTGGTCTGAGTCTGGATGAAGAGCCATTCCCTGTCCTCAACACTGCACTGCTGGTGGCCTAGGTTAGCCCAGTCGCACCATGAGGCAGGCTCTGCTCAAAACCTACCCCCAGGAGGACTCCTATCCAGCCCCAGTGTGCCTGAGGGTCTCAACTCAGCTCCCTCCCAGCAGAGGTTACTTCAGCTGTAAGCTGCGATTTGGTGCTGTTAACACCAGCTGCTCAGGGGACTTGAGTACACTCCTACAAGGACACTTTGGGGAGCTTCGGCTGAAGATCTGACCCTCCATGCCTCTGCCAACAGCATCTAACATACAGTCATGGCTGGGTCTGTGACAGATTTATGCATTTCCAAAGAGAAACAGAAAGGAGGGGAATAGCAAGGAGGAGGCATCTCAAGGAGCTTGGAAATTCAGCCATGCCACATATCTGAAAGATAGGTGTCGATCTGCCACTCCCAAATCTGGAAAACTGGTTGGGAAATCTGATCTGATGGCAGGTTTTCCTCAACCACAGCTCTTTCTGCTCTCCCTGCAGTTTGAGAGAGTTATTAAATCAATCTTGTGGCATTTGCACTTTGCTGCTGCTTTCCCATCTAGAGCCAGAGACACGTAGTCTGCAGGAAAACTATCTGGAAGGAAAGAGGACTTTCCTCTAATTGGGCAAATACATACAGTCTTGACTCATATTGGTCCTCAGTTACATTGAACACTCCCATCCCACATTGCTTTGTCGATGCTACCTGGCGCTCCTTGGAGCAACAAACCTCACAGCCTAAAATCCTGACAATCCAGGCTCATCCAGCCGTGTCCTGGGAATTAAGCCCTCCTAACATAGTTGCACGTGGGAACAGATATCTGTGCAATGTCTGTGCTGTCTCTTCCGCGACAGCTTCATCCTGGTCAGAAAGCACAACTAAGAAAACATTCCATGTAGGGGAAACAAGAAGAAATTATTTTTCCTTCACTGAGAAGTTAATTAATGGAGGTGTCTGCAAATCTGCAGGGATTTATTCATCCTTAAGGTGTCGGTGGAGCCAGACTGCCAGGCTACATCTGATCTCTGATGCAGTTGCACTCACATTTGCATTTGGGGTTCTCTCCTCCAAAATTGCCATGTGGAGGTTACTCTGCACCATGCCAGCCTGCAAGTCCTCAAGGCCAGCACCACGCATCTCTATTTGTGAAGTTAGGAGCAGAATAAGACTGATTATGAGCAGGTCAGATGTATGAAAGTTGAAACTCAGCAACATAAAAAATGATCAAAAGAAACACAAGTGTATTCAATAGTGGAACACATGAAGTCTACTCAACTGAAATCCCCCAGACACATAATCAGGCACGTGTGGAGACTGTAAATTGAATAAAACAATATTAACTTCATGGGCACAAACTCACCAGTCTACACCATCTAAATGACGGCATCCAAACAGAAAAATCCTTTCACAGGAGGTGTAATACTGGTTCCCTCATATTTATTGTATCATCTGCAAACAACATAGTGCCAATTGGCAAGGAGGCCGTAAGTAGGCAGCATTCAATTCTCACAGCTCTCAGATAACAAGTGACATTGAATTTTAACTCTTTTTTTTTAAAGCAGATACTACTCACGTTCAAAAACAAGGGGCAAGCGAACAAACTAGAATATTGGATGCAGTTAAAGAAAAGAAAGTGTGATTGAGGAGAGAAAGATATCCTTTTGACTGAATCTTAGATATTTTGGAAAACACCTGTACCAAAGGTAGCAGCAATGGATGTCCAACACTTATCATAGGTATGACTATAACTCTTGCAACTTAGTAATTTAAGAGCTTCCCTTTCGGAAAAGAGTCAAAGATGTACAAAGGCTTTTAGTAAAGCCTCAGGACAAGGTTTGGTTCAGATGGATATTATGGCTGTTCTTAGCCACAGCAAGAGTCCCTGTGCAGTTCATACATGACAGAAGGCGTGCAGCAATTCACTACGGACTGCTCGCAATGAGTAAGACAAGAAGTCATTACTGGGTCCCCCAAAAATACGTCATTAAATGACTATTGCCACTACATTTAAGATATTAAATGCCCTTCTTTAGTCAAGGAGAGAGACATGCACTCCTGGAGGGTTACTCAGTGTGTGGGAGAGCTCAGGACCCTCCGAGATGTAGCCTTTTGGTACTGACTCTTGGTGCCAAAAAATGATGGGATAAATCTCAGCCTTACTCTCACTTGATTTAATCTGCATGGTAATTCTGGAAGAGCTACCATGCTTTCAGCAGCTCTTTACCGTATCTCAAATTAATTTTCCTATGCAGGTAAATGCTGCTGGATCCCCTGAATGAACAAGAAAAGCAAATAAAGGGAGATAGCGCTGCTGGCAGACAAACCGCATGCTCCTGGATGGCAACATCCCAGTTACCTGCCTGTAACAGCCCGTGCTAACTTATCAAGACCAACTTTGGCAGCGTATAATGCTGTTTCTTTGTGCTTGTGTCCCTCTCTTGTCAGGACCAGCTCCTCTTTCTTGCATCTGCTGACCTATGCAGAGATGTCACGGGGTGTAGGGGAGAGCACTGGGGAGTGCTGGGGTGGCCAGGGGAGGCAGTGGAGGATGGAAGCCTGGGCTAGGCAGGGAGCCTGGGCTCAGCAGTGCCTGGTTAAGGAACTCTCCACTGCAGATCCATCATCAGAGGCGACAGCAGTTATGGAAAGTGCTGTGGAAAACAGCTTAGAGAGAGCAATGGTAGCAGAGGGTGCCACCAAGACACAGATTTTAAGGTAGAGGGAAATGCCTGAACAAAGGTTATTGAAAAAGAAAACGTTTATTATTTTTCTTTACAAGGTAACTCTTTTTACCTCTGCTTTTTGGTGCTGAGATTGCAAACAAGGGAGATGCATGGAGGTAACCGCAGAGGCTTGGCAGGGGGTCATCACGCCCCACGTGCTGCCCCCTGCAAACGAGGCAACTGGGCTCATCTCCAGGTTTTCTCTTGCACCTCAGAAAGAGGGGTAGGGAGGCACAAGGTGGGTGATTTGCTAGCCGGACTTGCAGATCCCAGCTGAGCAGCCAGGGACTAGCATGGCGGGCAGCGTGAGCCAGGGCTTAGGGGGCCACCTGGCTAAAATCCTGAAAAATAAACACATTTGTGTTTGTTTTCAGGTGATCCATGCCAGGATAAAAAACCAAACATACGTATTTCATGTGAGATCTGCAAGGTCCAGAACGAAAGACTGGCGAAAAATTAGGAAGAGACAAAGGGAGTTAGAATCAGAATTGATCAGAAGAATTAAATATAGGAAAGTCATTAGTGGTTAACTAAGAGGTTAGCCTACAGAAGCTGGATTTCACTTCATCCAGGCTGTTTGTTATGCTCACGTGATGGCATTAGTTTAGGGGAAGAGCCATCCTCCACCTCCTGAAGAAATTAATGATCACACAGAGCAGAACAGCCGCCACCGACCAGTGAGTCTCTGAAGGAACCGGCGAGGTGCGCAGAGCAGCTGTCCTCCAACCTCCGAGCCGACGGAGTGTTTGGGGACATCCCTGGGACAACTCCTAAGCAATCCTGCAATGAACCCTGAGGGATAAGGGACAACATCTGCTTGGAGAAGGTACCCAGAGCAGCAGCTAGGACTGCAGAAGCCCTGCTCAGCTGGCAAGACACAGCCATGGTGCTGGACAGCTTGCTGCAGCGTCCTGTGCGGGGCTCAGCTCGTTACCAGAGTGCTGCATCAGCCCACCTCGGGGATCAGGAAGAGTTGGATCTATCCTGCTGTCCTGGTACAAAAATCTTTGGCTTTTGCTACAAGGCTTCTGCAGTGATTAATACAAGAGAGCTGCCCGCAGGTTTTTGAATCAGAAATATGCACACAGAGATACTTGTCTTGCCGAGCACACACAGAGAGTGTCACCAAGAAAGCAAAGTCTCTGGCAGTGAGACGGGAGGTTTATGTGGCCCGTCACAGTTGCTGCTGAGTCCTGAGATAATCACGACAGCTGCACTGTGAGACAAGAGGACCCAGAGCCGGACTGTGCCAGTGGGTGCAGACCCCCAGCACAGTGCTGCACCACAATGGAGACGAGAAGTTCTGAAACCAAACACCCTATAGGGCCTTCAGGAGAATGGGCTTTTGGGTGATTATCACCTGCCCGTGAAACAGAAGCACACAGCAGCAGGAAAATCTTGCAGCCACCCAAGAGCTCTAGATACAGGCCAAAAGAGCAGAAAGTTTTAGCTGAAATCTCTGAATTCCAGCTCTAAAACAGTAACTCTTATCAATAGCAGAAGCAAGGAGAGCAGGAGCCTGGAAAGGAGCCACGGAGCTGCTGCGGGAATGGCAGGAGCAGCAGACAAGGCTAGCAGGACCGGGCAGAGAAAACGAGAGGATGGTGGCAGGGGGAAGGGAGAAAGAGGTATTTAACAGGCAGCAAAAAGTAGAGGAGAGGGCTGTAGTCCTTCAGTGAACGATCCCATTCCTTGCGAAGAAAAGCAAGTAGCTATCAGGGCACTGGAAACACAGTAACGT